TGTATTTGTATTACATTAACATTTGAGGTTGTTTCAAACTTCAAAATCGAAGAGAAAAAAAGCCGACGACCGACGACTTTCTATTTCGGAGTGTTAAAAAAATCGCGTTCGCGCAGCGTTGAAAAAACAAATTTACTTACAATTAGTTACATTGAAGCGGAAAGCTAACGCATACATCCGTCAGCGGCCAATATTCATCATAATTAATCTTGTTTACACAACTAAATGAACTACCGAACGTTAAAAACTGCTAAAGAAAATAGAATACATAAAAAGGCACGCATCGGATCAGCAGTGTGTCTGTCTGTCTGTCGGTGTTCTTCGTCGTTTGTTCTCTACGGACTTGGTCTCAACATGTGTAGGCCAAATGGCACCTATACTACGCTCTCTTCGGTTCGCCTTTGTTTCTACACATTGACACACACACACACACATACACGTACGTGTAGAGTTCGTTCGTTCGGTGCAGTCATTCGTAGACTTTTTCTTTTGCCGCTTTCATCGGCGATGCACTATTAACTTTTAGAGTTGACACTTGTTCCCAAAGATAAAACGTTTAGGACATGCGACAGGCCAAAACGACCATCGACCGTGCCACGAAATCTTTCTCGTTTTCTCGATCGTTGAATAATGCGCTCAGCACGGCCGAAGGGTCGAAGAATAATGTTCATTATACAATGTCCGATGACCTGAGCGGTCGGTCAATTTTTGCCAATGGACATGACATAAATCAACCAACAATGTTATAGTGTAACGTCGAGTCGTCTGTTCAAGTTATACGAGTGAGAGTATTTATTAGAGAAATAAATATCAATGATTTTTTTTATAACGATATTCGTGGTAAGCATTAGTTACAATGTGGTTTTTGTTTTGGTTCAAACGTCGTTTGCTGAACTATACACTTGATACTATCGCAACTAATCCACACTGAAAAAAATTTTGTTCCCAATATTAATTAATGGTATTTATTGACCTTACACAGGATTTGTAGATTTATAAAAAGCTTTTGACAATGTTAAATGAGACAAGATGTTAAATATACTTAAAAATGTAGGGATGAGTTATACAGATAGAAGAGTGATACTTAGTTTGTATAAAGAGCAACAGGCAGTTATAGAGATGGGGCTGCAACGTAGAGAAGTAATTATTAGGAAGGGAGTTGCACCGCTACTTTTATAATAGACGCCATTAACATCATTAAAGACAGTACAACTGTAGGGATAGATATACAGGAGCAAAAGATCAGTATGCTTCAATTTGCAGATGATATAGCAGTATTAGCATCTAGCAAGGAGGACCTAGAGATAGCTTTAAATAAAATGGAAGCAGTATTGACGAAACAATACTATATGAAAATAAATAAAAGTAAAACAAATATACTGACATGCAAGGGAAGAAGTAGGGAAAGAGCGAATATAAAGATAGGAGACGAAAGATTAGAAGTAGCTGGTTTTAGATATCTAGGAAGATCAGTAAAGAAGGAGTAGTAGGGATATAAAGCAAAGGATAGCGCAGGGTCGAGTCGCCTTCAATAAAAAGAAGTCACTTCTATGCTCACGAAAGATTAATTTAGAAATTCGGCCTTTTGGTTGTTAAAGGTGTATGTTTGGAGCACTGCGCTGTACGGGTGCGAAACATGGACAGTGGGTGCGACGAAAAAGAAGAGGTTAGAAGCGTTCGAAATGTGGTGTCACAGGCGATTGATGAGGGAGGATACCGTAGATAAAGAAAATTAGAAATGAAGAGGTATTAGAGAGAATAGGAGAACAGAGGACTATGGAAGTCAATAAAAAATAGGCGGGATAGGTTGGTATGACACCTTCTCAGGCATGAAGGTCTAGTCAGAGACCTATTAGGAGCAGAAACGGATGTTAGGAGGGATAGATCTAGACCTAGATTAGATTACTGTTCGCAAATAGTTAAGGACCTAAATTTCTAGTCGGGAAGATACGTAATTACGTCCAGGGTATTTTTATTAGAGATGCACCGGGTTAGTGATTTTGTCGGGTACCGGATAACCGAGTATCCTGCATTAGCTGTGTGGAGCAGTCGACAAAACCACTACGGTTAATGGTTCATGTTTTCGTTTTGACGCATTTTCCATTAAACTCACCAACATCCCAAATCTCATTAAATTCAATTCAAAAAGTCGTATAATCACCAAAGACTAAACCAATTAAGTTTTAATTCTTGCTTAGGAGATTTTTAACGAGAGGGTTGAGTTAAAACCGTTGAAACGAACTTCCAATGTTTGTAAACACTAAAAGTCTGCAATGTGACATAATCATATTAATAAATATCGTTAAGTAAAATCTGATATATCATCAAGCGACAGAAATTGTAAAAGTTCGGCAACTGATGTATACTTGTTCACGAGAAAAAGGAAGTTCAAGAACTGCATCAAAATAAGAAATAATTTATAGTAATCAATAAATAATACAGATTTGGACAAACTACCTATCCTAAACAATCTTAATTATCAATTTCTGTTAGGTGGGTTTTTTGTTGGACGTACTAAATTATTATTGCTGGTGTTAGTTTTTTTTCCTCTAGTGCAGTGGTTCCTAACCTTTTTAATATTGTTACCCCTGTGACCTATAAGGAAAACTGATTTTACCCCGATCTTAAAATGCAATACTAACAGCACAAGCAAATACAAATATTTTTAATAATCACAAATTGCACATCAGTCTTACAATTTTATATACCTAAACAATAAATTAAGCAAACATAGTTAGTGTGATGGTTGGTATTTTTGTGCATTTTCAAGTTTTTTTATGTTAGCTTTAATTTTGCTTAAAGCATATCCTAAGCCATGTTCCACATTTAGAAGGATTCTGGTCTTTGTCTTCAGTGTAACCACAGTTGAAAAAAAAAAACTTTTGGGTGTTTCATTCCCACCAGCCAGTAATGCTGGTGGGCGGGCAGTCCCTCCGGACTACGCCGGAAGGTAGGGCGGAAGGCCCTCTTCAGCCTGCTTTCAGGAATCGTGGGAATGGGTGGGTGGTGGTTCGGGTGAGAAAGATGAGATGGATGAAATGAAGACAGAAGAGAATGAAAGATTATCTGTGGAATATTACTGCCTCAGCATTTGCCTAAGTGATCCAAGGAAACCACAGAAAAACTTGGACCAAGGCAGACGGACGCGGAATCGAACCGGCGTCCTCCTGAATGCTAAGCAATTTCAGATAATAAAAAATGTGCTGAATTCGTCGATTAGCGGATCCAAAGCGAGTACCCAGCCCATAACTAGTGTTTATTGCCCTTCGCAAATTCAGCCGATAGTATATATACTTTCCACATATTGCAGCAAGAATTATATGTACTTCTCTTATTTTTCTTACATCCTTATAAAACTGCAGAGACCTATATTAAATATTTAGTTGTTGAATGCGAAACACAAACTTGGGTATCATTTTCACCACAAAATATTTTTGTGCATTTCGAGAAAGCAATTTGTACTGCGGTGCAATCTATTTTCATTAAATCGAGGGTAAATGATTGTCACTTTCGTGTAGGCCAAACCTGATATCGAAAAATTCAGTCTCTTGCTCTTTCCCTGGTTTTATAGAATAAAATCAAAGGTAGCAAGTTTTTATCATCAGAAGGTTGTCAATCCTGTAAAAATCGAGTATTTTTTCGACTCCCGTATCTTAGAATTAATTAGATTTCGTTCTTGTTTTCACTGATTATTTAATGAATGATACTTCAGCGCAGGGTCGTGTCGCCTTTAATAAAAAGAAGTCACTTCTATGCTCGCGAACGGTTAATTTAGAAATTCGAAAAAGGTTGTTAAAGGTGTATGTTTAGAGCACGGCATTGTACGGGTGCGAAACATGGACTAGTGGGCGCGGTGGAAAAGAAAAGGTTAGAAGCCTCCGAAATGTGGTGTTATAGGCGAATGATGAGGATATCGTGGGTAGAAAAGGTTAGAAATGAAGAGGTATTGGAAAGAATAGGAGAACAGAGGACTCTATGGAAGTCAATAAGAAATAGGCGAGATAGGTTGGTAGGACACCTTCTCAGGCATGAAAGTCTAGTCAGAGACATATTAGAGGCAGAAACGGGAGTTAGGAAGGGGTAGAGGTAGACCTAGATTAGCTTACTGTTCGCAAATAGTTAAGGATGTGGGTTGTTCTAGTTTTAGGGAAATGCGAAGTTTAGCTCAGGGTAGGAAAGAGTGGAGGTACGTGTCCAACCAGTCTTAGGACTGACGACCTTATGATGATGATTTAACGAGCTGTCAATGATTGAGAATAGTTACCACGTTATTTTACCGGCTTTCGGCGAAACACACATATATTCGTGACCTTCATAACAGCTGATACGTAGACAAGTCAATTGTACGTAATGATTAGTAATAGTCTGCACTTGTTAGCGTTCGATTGGCAAAGTATTACCACAAAATACAAAAATATGTTGAATGTGAAAATATTCAGCAAAAACCAAGGTATTCACATGGTGCTCACATATGGACGGTGTAACGGGAATACACCAGCGATATCACGCGAATACGCGTCATTGTCATCATTACCGAAGCAGTTGGGGCTTTCGGTAAGGCCACTACCCTCATTGTCATGTATAGATGGGCCATTCTACTTATCTTTCATGTATCTCCTTTTCCCTTAATTTCTGTTTTCCATATTGTCGAATGTGGACTACTTTTCCGGAAGAGAATAGGTGATTGGTCACCATATGGTCGACAAGACTGGTTGAGTAAGCACTCGCTACCCCTCTACTCGTGTTCTTCCTTCCAATATATCTCCAATTCAACCTCAAATGCGCCATTTGTTTATGTACTTTCTAATACTTCCTCATTCTAAATCTTTTCTATCGACGGTATTTTCATGATTCGCCTGTAACAACACATTTCAATCGCCTTTTACGATAATAGGTAATAATTGATTAAAAAAATCCGATTTTCTGTTCAAGATGACCAGATTATTGTATATGTAGAAAATCCTATTTCTGTCAATATTCACATACAGTTTTGTTTTCAGACGCAGTATTCCAGTGGAAGATCATCTGGCAGTATCATTAAGGTAAGTAAGTATAATGTTTCATTAATTTAATAAACCAAAGACAAATTTCAAAAAAGAATTTCACGTCTTAACTACTCAGCCGTTCATCATCATGTAATTTTATACACACATTACCAGGGGTACTGAAAAGGACATAGGATACTTTTCATCCAGAAAAAAATACTATTCTCGAGGGATAGAAAAATTGGTTTTTTTATGTGATCGTCGATGATCTTTGACACGTATTTAAGACATCAACGCGAGTGAAGCCGCGGGTAAAACCTACCACTATATTCTTTTAAAGGTTATAATTTACGAATAAAGTGGAAAAAAACCCGACTAGATTTTTGGGGAAGTTGATAGCTAAGGTGTTAACAATGTTGTTAGGCACACTACTTCGTGTAAGCCCTATGAGGCTGCTCTGTAGCACGCAAAGGACGTACGGTTTTGCATCATTTGCGCATCCCCATGAATCCCCATGAATGCCGCATGTTGTCCTTCTAAGGAAAAGTAATGGTAACCCACGTAGGAAAAAGGGGGAATCAATCGGATTATACATACCGTTAACTTTTCAATATGACTTACCAGTCTATATTGCCCAATCGAACACTCATAAAGCAGATGGTGCAAGATTCCACATATGTTCGGTTTATCTTATGATAAACTCATATAAGGCATACCTCACGTCAATATCGTTGATTTCTTTTGTGGAATCCTTATAAGGGTTCATGGAGAACTGCCTCCAATTTCTACTTTTAATTTCATTTCCTATCCGCTTCCAAAAACTTTGAGTTGAAGAAAGTAGTCACTAGAAATGCTCGGGATAGTGATTTTGCTGTTTCGATTAAATGTCTTCATAATAAGAAACTGATATAAATATTTTGTATATAAGTAAGAGGTCAGGTCTGCAAATGTCTCACCTCGAATGGTTCTAATTGAACCGTACTTGTAAATAGTAAATACGATAATTAGAGAGGTCCGCAATTGTTCCAAGGCTGCCAATCATTAAGTCCCGTTCAAAAAGTCACTAAACCAAAAAAATTTTAATTCTTGCTTGGCGGATTTTCAACCGGATGGTTGAGTTGACAAAATCATACTACGAGGTAAGTTATAATTAAACGAAACCTGATAAGAATATAGTATCTTATCTTAATTACCAATTTTTATTATGTAGGTTATTTTTTTATGAATATTAAATTATAGGCCGGATCCTAAATAAGTGCTGGGATCCGGCGGTACCGGATCCAAACCAAGTACTCGAATCGTGTCTAATTACCACCTTTCCAGCATCTTTACCCCCATATCCGTGGGTTCCTTCATTTGGACAATTATAATTTTCAACTCATTTTTGTACAGTGTATTAAAAAAATTAATAAAACATTAAAATAACGCGTGGATTTTCACATATCAGTATTGTAGCACTGTCGGGATTTTAGACTGCTGTACCTCATCATCATCAACATGTCGTCAGTCTTAAAAGACTGGTTGGGCACGCACCTCCACTCATTCCTATCTTGTATTTCCCTAAAACTAAAACATCCCACATCCTTAACTATTTGCGAACAGTAATCTAATCTAGATCTACCTCTACTGCTCCTATTTCTGCTTCTAATATGTCTCTGATTAATAAACCTATCTGGCCTATTTTTTATTGACTTTCATAAAATCCTTTTATTGAAAGCGACTCGACCCTGCGCTATCCTCTGCTTTATATTCCTATTACTCTTTCCGTCTTGACTTCCTAGATACCTAAAATCAGCCACTTGTTCAAACCATTCGTGTCCTAGCTTTATATTCGCTGTTTCCCTACTTCTTATTCCCTTGCATGCTAGTATTTTTCTTTTACTTTCATTTATTTTCATGCAATACTGTTTTGTCAATACCGCTTCAATAGTATTTAAAGCCATCTTTACCTCCTCTTTGCTAAATGCTAATACTGCTATATCGTCTGCAAATCTAAGCATACTAATCTTTTATCCCTGTATATCTATCCCTACAGTTGTACTGTCTTTAGACTGTACCTACAATAAGAACATTTAAGCGTTAAGTCTTATACATAAATGTTTGATTTCTTCCTGTAATTTTTTCTAATTTTTTTCCGTATATATACAATACTTGTGCACTCGCAACCACGACATGCTCGCTCATCAGTAAAGTCTGTAATCTTAGAATCATTTGTCACCTGTTGATGATATTTCAATATTGTTCACATGTCAAAGATCACTTGATAGCGATGACATTGCTTGAAATAAAGAAAATGTTAAAGAAAATATACACGCAGTTGTTTTTAAAGTGTCAGTTTGAACACGAACGTTCATTCAGTTAATAATGATAATCGATAGAATGTCAGGAATGGTGACACAGGTCAGAAAATAAATTTAAGAAACCTTTCCTGAGAAACAGTATAGGACTTGTGCCGTGTGTTATGTGGAGAACTGACTGGACTGCGTTGCGGCTTATGAGTTATGGTTGATCTGACAAGAAGTACATATGTCACAGTTCTTGTCACACCCATGTATTAAGCAGACTGCAGCATTTTTTCACCAAACAAGCGGGCATATTTCCACTCAGTTTGACCGTCAAATCCCCGTACATAATTTATTACGATGTTATTTTTAAAAGATGCATTAAATGAAGAAAAAATGACACAGTACAACTGATAATTATTATTTACTCATAAAAACAATGCTTCTTATATTCTTCAATAAAAGTTGCTTTTTTCATTTTATTCACGTTGATTTGGATACACGTGGTTCGGTTTGAGAATTGTGGAGCATTTTTGTTAAGGGGAAAAACCGGGGGATGCTCCCCATTATATCTGCTTCAGATGATTTTATCAACTTGTGTTATTAGTTAGGAAATATGTTAAAAATAAACGTGTTTTGTAATTTCCAATACAAATACCTCCTTTAGGTAAATTGCTTGAAACACTCAAAAGAGTATTCATGCATGGGCTGAATATGATTACAAAAGGGCGTAGAAACCGTAAAAGTAGGATCATAAAATAACAATATCATCAAGAAATCGGACCTTTGGTCAATATTTTCAGCCGAATAGAAACATTTTTCGTATATATTATACATCAATAGCGGTTTGAGGGGATAGGTAAGTCGTAGATAAGACTATTTTGGTAGATTCGCAAAAATAGTAATATTTTTGTTATAATTAAAAGCAAACTACTTATAATATGATTAAAAAACAAAAGGGAAGGGAACATTGTAGACGTAATGTACATTACCTATCAATAGAACCAAAGAATCCCTCGTTTCGATTAAGGCAAAAGGAAACTGAAATTCTAAACTAAGTAGACAGTGCCAAAATCTTTTTTAAAAAAATAAAAATTAATCCAGAACAGGATTTTGAAAGACATCACCGATAACGAAGTCTTCTGTAAAAAATTGATAGCTATCCAATGCAGGTAGCTTTGATATAAATGTTTTTTAAAAAAATTTAAATATGTACTTTAGATACAATTACAAAATGGTTGTAGAACGTTTGAATCCAATATCATACATTTCCACAAATCTTTAAACACAAAAAATCAAACAAGTGAAAATATTGAAAAATTGATTCAGCTGTATCAACAGGCCTGATTCATCAGCGCTCTTTACGCAGTTAGAGATATTATTTTAAAAATCAAATATTCAAAAAATTCGAAATTGTTTTTATATATGATAGAAGTCCGATTGCTCTTCTATAAGATGCAAGATATCATGAATGTAGCTAGTAAATATAAAATAGCTACTGGTGAAGCTTTTCGTAATTGCCAGTTAACATTTACAGCAATTCGGTGGCTTCGAATTTACTTAACTTAAAAGATTTAAAAATTCGGCCAGGTTCACTTTGAAAGAAGAGAGACTTGATGCCCTAATGATGATAAAAAGGAAAAGATACCTTTCTAAATCTCTCTTCCTGAACAATATGGTGAATTTATGGGTGAAACTTAAACACAGGCGAATTCGAGTAAACTAATAATACCTATCTATTAACCGATTGGATTAGGTATTTCTTTTATTTTTTTATTTATAAGTGTATGGTTTTGCACAATTAAATCCCTGCAGAGATGAACAGTGTTATTTATACGTAATAATTTTAGTTGGAAAATTAAAAGTACAACAGTTAGTTAACCCCCTTCCAAATCATAATACTTAGTTAATTAGTTAACTCCCCCCAAAGCATAATACTTCGATAGGGTCCTGGGAGAGGGTGCCATACCTTCTTCCCAAAGCCCGTAAACAATTTTTTATAATATCCCCCTCCAAAATTACAATTCTTTCTGATTTCAGAAAATCTCACAGGTACGAAATCGCATTTGCTGTTAATTAGGAAAATGGCTTCCACACGAAGGATGGTAAAATCCTTTCCTAATAATAATAAATGCGATTTCTTACTCAGAAGGTAAAAGACAAAGGAAAAATATAGTACATTCGGTAGAGCAAAAAAAAAAATACTCCTTAAATTCTTAAAGAGATGACTTGTTAGTGCTGTGTCTGGGCCCTGGCGACTTCCTTTGCCTAATCGTTATTGAACGGCTACATGTCTAAGAGGTGGTAGTTGTCACACGTTATCCCTGTATTTAATAAAGAAGACAACACATGTGTCACCAATTATAGGTCAATTTTTATCCTTCGTATGATTGCAAAAATTTTTAAGAAACTTACTTCTCGGTTGTTACTAGCATTATTGCTACTTACTGCTGTATATCATCAGTTAAAAAATTACTGAAGCACTAGATGTGTACTCCCAGGTTGACTAACCACTTAAATTATGATTCCATATGTATTAACCTGTTTATGATAACAATAACAATAATAACAATGAGAGACGGCATCATAAACTAATTTTGAAATTACCTCGAATAGACACTGCGTATAGGTATAGGGTGCAACAGAAACAAGTGCCTAGCTTGCAAGATGTGATACAGCACTATAAAACATAAAAATTAAATAATGTTTGTATATCTCAATGTTCACCGTTTTCGAGAAAAAAATGAAAGTAGAGATAAATTCAATTACGTTCCTGGTTCACTAATACGCCCCCACAACGCTGTACTTGATCAGCTGGTGATTCCTAGCACCAGTGCAGTATTTGCTTTGTACTTTTTTGATCATGTATTGTTTATTTGTTAAATCAGATTAAGTGGGATTCAAGGAGTTAATGTTAACAGCCTACCCCTAGTAGCCATTTATTTTTTTAACGTTTGAACCTTGTGCAGTTCAATAAACTAATTCAACAGTACAACACCGATTGTCAGTGTAGAGTCACTGTAGAATAGTTGTTAGAATAATGTGATGTAATACACACATTTACGGGTTTGAACCATATCGCTGCTGTAGGGACGAAATCCTTGATTTCAAAAAAAAAATCCACCTTACCCTCGAACAAACGTTGGCTCCTATCAGTGTGGCAGTTGATGCATCCTTATTATTTGCAGCGAGTGGATTTTGTGTCGGTGGTTTCGAAAGAAAAGTTCTGTCATAGGGTGTTGTTTACAGAAAAATTTGCTTCACGCGGAACGAAATTTTGACTAACAATAATAATCACTATTGGTGCGACACAAATTAGCATGTCATACATTCTTCGCAATTTCAAAAACTATTTTCAGTTAATGAGTGGCGCGAATTTTTTGGCGACTTATTTGTCTTTTTTGTTAAGTTTACTTATATTAATCCACAAAAAAAGTAACGCACCTCAATAGTGTGGAAATTTGTTTTAATAAAATTACAATTATTCAGATGATTCTCATTTCCCGATTAATGTTTACGTAACTTACATGCTTTTATTTCTTTTGTGTTGTTATATTTGCATAGTGCTTGCTAGTATTGTTAGACATGCGATAATCGGCAGTGTTTACTTCTCCTTCGTACCACACTATTCAGGTATTCAGTATTAGACACCTATGTTGCCAATTCACGCACAGGCCCGGCTTCGGATTGTGAATCATTGTGATTTAAAAACTTTGCCCTTAACCAGCCTGCCGAACTCATCACACTATTGTTTATTGCATCTAGTTTACACCCTCCAAAGCTCGACACTTAATTCTGTTACACCCTGTACAATTCGGTTATCCACCGCCTCACCAGACAGTGGAACTTACTTCCTAATAAGTTGTCAACATTTATAAGTTTCTTTGAGTCGGATTATAGAATTTGTTTCGTTATAGTTTTGCATTTATTTTGCGAGTGCAAACAGCAGTATATATTATAAAAATACTCCAATAGGACAAGATTTTGTTATCCTTCACGTGGAGAAAAACTAATAAAAAAGTATGGTATCAATGGAGAGGTACTAAGGTTTGGAAATTTATGAGATAAGGCATACTAAGAATCAAAATGTAGTCCCAAACCATCAAAGAGAACCCATCATAAAATTGTCATTAATAAGAAATGTGAATTGTAGACGTCACACAGTTAGTAAGTAAAATTGACATTGAAATTATAAAAGAATTACGAGAAAATACAGAAATGATAGACATTAAACACAAAAGTAGAGTTGCGCAAAAGAACAGAATGGAATATTTGGATTACAGTTAATTGAAATCATATAATACAATACCTTTGATGTAGAGGTTGAAAGGAAATACCTGAATAGCACCTAGTAAATAATTGGTCTGTCAGATAATGATAATAATACCATACTAACTATCTGAAAAGTAAAATAGGAGTATTGTAATTCGTATCTAAAAATTATGAGCAAGTATTTGTATCAAATAACTTTTTATGCCGTCTGTAGTGTTATCCTCTACGAAAGAGCGTTTTTTGGAACAGAAAAATTTATGGTTACTTTTGAAACGACTTTTCTGTATTTATTAGAAAACAACAAGAAAATCAAACAAATCAATCGAATACTGTACTGAAGAAAATGGAGTTATGTGCGTTAGCTTCACGTGATTTCTCTTTTGTTTCAGATTGTCGGCTTCAAACAACAACGGTTGCAGTCCTCACAGCAGTAGCAGTCACTCATCTAGTTCTTGCGATTCACCAGCACCAGTACCACCGGCTGCAGCGGCATCCGCAGCAACGACTTTGGCCACACATGCCGACGATCCATCGGCGTCAATGGTTTCAACCTGCGTCACCTCCTCACACCATCTACATCTACCCAGCTCGTGGGCGTTGCTTACCGAACCAGCCGGTAATTCAATTCATTTTACTATAATATACAGTATAACATTTTATTACCAGTAAGTGCCTTTTCAAACGTTATCCTAGCAAGTACATGATCTTTATTTCTTTTTAAGATGAAAAATACTTTAACGATATTAGCATGTTCATATACCGAATGTCGCAATCTTTGTTTTTGCCCATTTACCAATGACAAAAAGCCTACTATATAGGGGTCATTCAAGTATTAAGAAAGCACCACAGAGGGCTGGGGGGTCTGGATGGTGATTATGTGCAGCAACGCGGAGAGCGAAGGGTCCGCTAGAGTCCCGGCGGCGTATGCTGTGCTCAGCTGTTGTTTTCTTACCTCTGCTCTCCACGTGGCTGGGAATCATTACCTCTATTTGCAGTCTGTAAAAACCAAATCATAATTTGCAGTAAACCTGTGAAAACGAAATGTGTACTGGGACACGTAGGAGAAGTGAAACTTCAACGGACAAATGTAAAAACGAGTCGCAACAAAATTTTTACTTGAAGTTTTACGTGCATGTTTTCAAATTGGACAAGTTCATTAACAATCTGTTCGTAAAAATTTTGTTGCGATTCGTTTTTCCACTTGTCCGTTGCCATTCGTTTTTCCACTTTTTTCTACTAGGTGTCCCAGCTAGGGTTGCCACCCGTACTTTATTATAAAGTATTGTACTCTATTTCGTCTGTACGTACGTTATACTTTACAAGACACATACAGTACGCAAAAATACTTTATTTAAGGCCTCAAGTAAACATCGTAATTTTGTATTATTCGAAATTCAGAGTACTTTAACATCAATAATATTGCACAGAAAAATGGCAAGCCATATTTACGGAACAACCTGATTTCCCAAATCTGTTCAAAGTAGTGTCACTTTTGCTGTCCGTTNCATAATTGGGCAAGGGAATTATTAGTTTTTTCATTTTACTGAGAATATTTTCACAAGGTAGATTTAATTGTAAGCTTATTCGTGTGATAGGTTTGCTCCTTAAGACCCATATAAAAACCCATAAGGCAATCCTCATTTTAGTATCACCACTTTTTTTTTTCATGAAGAATCTATGGGGAAATCCCTATATCGGCATGCCCCTTATAAGTAGGGTTGCCACCTGTACTTAGTATTGTACTCTATTTCGACTGTGCGTACGTTATACTTTACAAGAAGCAAAAATACTTTATTTTTATGCTGAGTACTTTTTTTTTGAACTATTTAGTCGAGAAATACTTTATGTAAAGCCTGAAAGGTGGCAACCCTAGTCCCAGTACACATTTCGTTTCTTCCCCGAACTATCACGTAGTGTTTTTTAAATGTTTTATTGCCTGAACCTCTACTTCACGTGATACGGATTTTATTCATATGTGGCGCAAAATTCTCATTAATAGGAGTTTATAATAGTGATGACATGATTGTGATTACAATTACGATTAACTCACGATTACCACTGCCAAACCGTTAATCTTAATTGTGGATTCTTACATGGTTGTTTATTGGATTGCGACGTGCGTTTTCTCGTTTCCGTTTCTTGCAAATTGATCACGGTAGTAGTACGACAGTAATGTGCACCATTTTTTCAACATCTCCCAATTTGAATCGCTAAATGTCGCGAATTAGGGACGGCTTCGTAGCACCAAGCTCGTGCGAGGTAGACGCTAAATCGACACGGTTTTGTACAAAAAAAATGAAGCAACAAAAACCGTGTTGAATTCGTGAAAACGCAATGCAGTGTTCAACCCGGTACGCAAACGGGAATATGCTCGTAAGGCAATAATAGAGTCGACGAATTCTACATCGTCCCTCGTTAATATCCCTATAGATATGTATATAAATACGTGAACTGGTTGATATCGAAAATTGTGGTACCTTTTTTAGTATCACTATATAGTATAAAACAAAGTCGTTTTCCCGCTGTCTGTCCCTATGTATGCTTAGATCTTTAAATCTACGTAACGGATTTTGATGCGTTTTTTTTAGTGGATAGAGTGATTCAAGAGGAAGGTTTATATGTATAATACATGCATAATATAGTAGAGAAACACTGATAATTTTAGAGGTTTCCAATGTGATGTCGTAAAACACATTTTTTTGCGCTTACATTGCAAACACTGGCTGAACCCTACGAGATAGATCAAAATAATGTACTAAAGTATTATACATCTTAAAAAGATCTACAAAAAAGTCTCTGATGGTATATGTCTATCTCTTAGGGATAACCCACAATAACCATTTTTTGTCCTTTACATTTTATGAGAAATAATGACTTATTTACTAAACGATTTTAAGCAACACGGCATTAATTCTTCTTAAGTACCTTAAATACATTGTGCATTAATGTAGATCAATATGGCCCTTTACAGCATGCAATTTAAATGAATATTTTCGAAGTTATTACAGATTTAAAATGCAAACATAGCGGTTGCGGCGGTACCGACCGGAAGGCCGGTTTGTATTGTCTAATGACAAAAAAACTGTGAATGTTGTATATAAAGACATTTTTTGATCCTACCCTGTATTTTGCATTTGATATTGTTTCTCTGAATTTTGATCCAGATATCCTTTGGAATAAATGCGCAGATGCAAATAAAGATTCCAAAAGTCGTGAATTTATAAATTGTTTTACTCCACGTGAAAAATTTATTGCATCTTTTCTTGGAGGAGTGTAGTGACCTAAGCTCATTTTGCATGCTTACAGGTATTGTTCTCCCTATCAAAGTTCATTGACTGACCAGTAATCTCTTAAGGAACTATTTAAATAGAAATAAATCAATCACAACTCAGAATTTAACACAATCGCTTAACAATTAACTATTACAATTCATATATAGTTCAATAGGGAGATCCTGTTTACCTTTATTGTCAAGCTTTTATATGTTAATGTATTACCACCCCTAATCTCGGCGTTGCTCTCGTGTCGTATTGCATGCAGAAAAAGGTATTGTATCGGCCAAGAATTGAACCGCAGCCGTGCGGTGCTGACGTTTCAAATCAACACTGTATCTTCATCCCTGTTAACTGGTTTACTCGGGGTGTAACAAGCAATATTCGTTACTTTTCCTTCATCTTTTAGGACTTTCTTGGCTCACCCCTGAGTCTGCCTGTTTTCCTAAATTACTCCTCTTATCATAATCAATAAAACACTAAAAACCCACATAAAAAGTTTACAAATCCAAAATTCGTTTCGATACTCAGAGTAGTACGTAATTTCGGGTTTTTAGGACTTCACTTAGACAGATCTTTTTTTGATATTATTGTAATTTCGTACATATTTACAAGATAAACCACTCGTAGGTTAATAATTCTGCTATTATCTTCATTATAGATACTATATTCTGTACATAAAATCTCTGGCTTTAGTTTAATAAGTAATACATTAACGTGTAAACATGACAACAACGACTGCGTAAAAATAAATAATAAATGCGTTCGATAATAAGTTGTGGATAAGCGCGTCACCATCCCTGTTCCGTTATTTATAATGTTTTAGTACTTTGGTTGTAGATATACATGTGTATATGGAAGGTACAGGGGTATCTCTGGATGTGTATGTTTGGGTGTGTGTGTGAGAGACGGGCGTAAATATTATATTCGAAAGTCAGCCTGCATAACAAACGAAGATAGGAAAGTTATAATCAAACGTGACGAGAAATCGAAACTTTGTCGCCGGTGACGTTAGTTTGGAAACAAGAAAAATATTATTCTCGCATACGAATTTGTTGGAAATCTGCCTCAAACTTCTAAATATCCATCAGAAATTATTACGAAATGTTATTAATATATATATAAGACGTTGTAGCAATTTTTAGTGTTATACGTAATTATGTATTATTTTTAAAATTACTCTAATATGTTTAATCCGAAAATGTAAAGGATGTTTTGAGTTATGAGAA